AGCTGGAGGAGCCACATGGAGGCCCATGCCAGTGCTGAGCTGCTTACACACAGCCACTGGATCCACAAGACTTTCCACCCACTGGCCTGTGATCTTCCTGCATTGGGCATCATTGCATGTGTTGTGTGAGTAAAGAGGAATTTATGGACCTGTATCGGACATATGGGCTAATATTGGATTTATGGGCTTGATCTGGACTGGGCTGGAATGTTTCTCAATGTACAATTACTCTTTGATGTAAAGTTCTCCCTGACACTTACATGAGTGCCTCTGGATTCGGAGCAAGCTCACCTTAGTCCTCAAAGTGACATCCCTGGTCCTTCCTTCTAGCTATATAGTTTTTTAAACTCTCAAATGACAGCGTGGGACCATGAAAATGAACCACTTGTAGTTCACGTGGTTATTATTAAGTGCCATCAAGTTGCTGGCTGAGTAGGGTGTCTGGTTCATTAAGGGAGCAAGTTTGCTGACCACAGTGCTGTAGCTGAATGCCTTCAGGCAGAGGCTTACTGGCAGAGTGGGTGCTTCTGGACACTTATTGGCAGGGTTAACACAGCTTTTGCAACACTTGCTCGAGCAGGTTGAGGTCAGACAAGGGATCAGGACAAGGGACTGAGGGTCAGAGAGACTTGCCTACAGACATCACTGTAGAACTGTGGAACAGACATCACTGAGAAGAATCTACCTTGGTTGAAGAACTGTATCCTAAGTAGTTTCTGATCCTAAATTATAACCTGTTATTTCTCTGGTTAATTCAACTGCAAACCAGTTACCAGCGGATGTAATAATTTGCTCAAGAGAGGAAACTACATGTAAAAAAGCAGCTGCAATTGGAGTCACCACCTGGTTTAGTTTACAGCAACCCACTGCCATTCTCCAAGAACTATCTGCTTGTACAAGCCAAATAGGCAAGTTGAATGGGCATGTGGTAGAGATGATCACACCTGCATCCTGCATGTCCTTGATGGTGCTCTTCCTAATCTCCATCATCCCTCGAGGAATACAGCATCGCTTTGGTCTCCCTGTTTTTCTAGGTAAGGACAGTTCTAATGACTCCCATCTGGCTTTTCCTACCGTAATAAACCTTATGCTACAGGTCAGGGATACAATGTGGGGTTCTACTAGTGGCTGAGTTTGTCTATTCCAGTTATGCGTTGTGGAACGGAGGAAATCACTATAGGATGTGTTCACTGTCAAATGAACCTGAGCTAAGACGTTATTAATGACCTAACTTCCACATACCCCCACTCTGACTGGCGGCTGCAGTGATGAGTTGGGTCTCCTGGAATTAATGTCAGTTTAGAACTAGTGTCCAGTAATCCCTGAAAAGTCTGATGACTTACTATACCCCAGTGAACAGTCACTCTCATGGAAAACCATAGATTTCTTTTGAGGATAGGATGAGAGATTAATTATATCGATATATATATGTATGTGTGTATGTATATATATATATAATTATATATAAGGAAGGACCTTGTATATAATTATATATATAAGGAAGGACCGTACTACACTGTAGTATATATGCAGTGTAATATGGTTCTTCCTTAAGGGAACTAGGCCTCCCCTTCATTGAAGGGGCTGTAGGTCTATAAACTGGCTCAAGTCTGGGAATTGAGTGAATGGTTGTGACTATTTTAGTAATTTGAATTAGACTGCCATTCGCTTGACCTAAAACCTGCTTGTCCAGATCAATCGTAGATGTCCCATACATCTCACTGCCAGCTATACTACGAAGAAGTAAACAACACCATGAAATACACAGGTCAGACCACTGAATACTGCCTTGACTCTCTGGTCCATTATGATAGCTACAACCATTGTATCTTTGTCAGCTAAGTACCACTACTTTGCCCCTACTACCATTGGGCCCGATTAACCCCACTGAAGTCGTTGTTGTTTTCTGTAGGTGCAGTCCTGCCAGTTCCGTTTCATAGTGACCCTATGGACAGCAGGGCAAAACACTGCTCAGTCTGTTGCCAGACTCACAATGATTGCGTTGCTTCAGCTCGTTGCTGCAGCCACTGCATCAAGCCATTTCATTGAAGTTCTCCCGCTTCTGTATTAACTCTCTCTATTATGCTCTCCTTCAGGGGCTGGTCCCTCCTGACAACACGCCCACAGTAAATGAGACAAAGTACATAGCATTCTCACGTCTAAGAAGCATTCTGGCTGTACGTCTTCCAACACAGATTTGCTCATTCTTTTGACAGTACATCGTATACTTCATTTTCTTTTCCAACACCATAAACTCAAAGACATCGGTTTTCTTCAGAATTCTTTATTCATTGTCCAACTTTCACATGCAGATGATGTGACTGAAAATACTCTTAGGAACGCTTCGTTTTTTTTGCATTATAAAGATGTACCCAGTACAATGTGTCATTTGATTGCTTGACTACTGCATTCATGGGAGTTGATCGTGAGTCCTAGGAGCAAGAAGTCCTTGGACCATTTCTGTGTGTTGTGATGTTGTTTATTAGTTCCCCTGAGAGAGAGTGTTAGTCTGGGTAAACTAGGGAAACAAATCCACAGAAACTCATATGTGTAAGAGGGAGTTTTATATAAATGGTAAGTGTACATGACTAAAACATCCCAACCCAGTGCTGCCCAAGCCCATAGGTCCAACATTAGCCCATATGTCCGACACCAATCTACAAAGTCCTCCTAAATCTCACAAAGCACACACAATGTCACTGACTGCAGGAAGAAAACCGAATCTGTGAGCATATAAGCATCTCAGCACTGGCAGGGGTCTCCACACAGCTGCTCCAGCACCCAGGGCTGCATCGGGGTAGGTCCATGTGGCTTCTCCTCAGGGATGTCTT